TTGCCCTAGCCTAGACTAGTTTATGACCAGTAGCATACAAATGTAGCACCTTGATTTAGCAAACTCTTTTGAAACAGCGACGCCCGATTTGAGGACAGTTGCGCACTAAAGAAGGCTAGATGACGTCTATCATCAAATGACTATGCTTTTGAGTGATTTAGTCTAGATTTTTCAATTTATTACCCTATCTCCCATTGCATGCTATTTGGTTTTGAAAAGCTTGCGTAGTAGCAAGGGCTGATGATTGAAGGATTCGTCTCCAAAACTTCGGCAGAATAGATAATATCTGAAATGAATAACCTTTCGGTTGCTGAAGAAAATAGCTCTCGATCACGACTACCTAAATTGATGTTCTGAGGAGCAATTGGTCTGATAAAGCACCTTGTACAGCTCACCGGCCACGTTCTTATCAGCATGGTCGGCACTATAGGAACGCGGTCTGGGTGTTTCCTATTCTTCTTCTTTTATATAGTGAGATTTAAGAGTATTTGAAACATAGCTGTGATGATTGGTGTTATTTTGTTTTTCGCAATTCGGACCAATAGAAGTGACAAATTAAGGTATTTCTTAATGACGCCACCATCGTCACAAATCCTGGCTACCCTCAGCCGTACAGAAGCTCGATTTCAAAGTAGGTTTGCTTTCTTGATCAAAAATCTAAATAGCGAAAGACTTTTATACCGTCACCGATGCCCTAGATCGCTTACTGAATCAGGCTATGGAGAGGGCATTGACATTTAGTACAATACCGAGATTTCTACTGAATATTGCGCCTTGTTGGATGTGGCAACCGCTACACTGCAAAGGAATCGGTCCAGTACATTCAAAAGCGAAATGTCATACCATATAGTCACGAACGGTGAATGGAATAATTGTTGAGATTTCCTAGATCCTTTTTCTGAAGCCACATCTCACGATCAAGTCGGTGTGGCGTATGAATAAATAATATAATAATGAGATAAACAAATAAAGTAAATTATAATAAAATAGTAAACGAATTGAACATAAAATAATGAACCAAAATCGAACTGCCAATTGAGAAAAAGGAAAAGAATTGTCGAAAGCATCGACTGCTTTTCTTGACCTCCGCTGTGGAGGAGTCTGAGAAGGAGATAACGAGAGAAGGGTAATGGGAATTGATGTGAGGAGAATGGCGGAGGGGGCATAACTGTTAGCCAGACCGCGCATGAATGTTACGGCAATGATGGGCGTATCGACCAGCACCGGGGTGGAAATGAACTGGGAAACATGGGTCCCATTTCGTAGGTCTTGAACCGTTGGCAACGATTTTTTTGCGTGGTACATGCCTCAAAACCCAGGAATTATCATCAAAGTTCAAGGGGTTCGCATTCATTTTATACATTTTTTTTCGTGCCATGAATGTTTTATGGCGGATGTTTCATTTTTATGGTTTAGAGCATTTTCGAAGGAATTTCAAACCGGGTAGGTGTACTGTAGACGCGTTGAGAGCAAAAGCGGTGCAGACCTGCTCGTCTGCTGGTTTTTCGTACATAAGTAGGCTACCTTTAGGGATATTAGCGGGATGAACCACTTTGTTAATAGGTTGTTCCTGGATCATGCAAAGTTTTTTTCCTGGCCCGCCCTAGCTTCTCTGGAGTCAGTCTTCCTTTTGGTACGGTTCTGGAAGATTTTCTAGAAAACGGATTTACGTGGTACATTTCCTCCTAAAAATCCCTCCACGCAGCGGTATGGAGAATGTCGCAACAAAATTGTGCGCTTTTTTTCGTAAAATATTCCCGTTTTTTTTTCAAAAACTTTTCCTTCCAAAATAAACACTGGCAATTCCACCGAACACTACTTTTCCTGCTCCTAACGCCTTCCCCTTTCTTCCTGTTGAAAAATCACAGCCAATCACTTAATGAACTTTGGCCAGCGGACGGTTGACCTCGAATAGGAGCAACTGCACTTTTGTGACTGATACCATGACTCATCACCGTAGAATTGTTATTACTTTTACTTTCCGGTATCGCTTTACGGAGATGGCTGGCGAGAACCAAGGAGTTGCAGTGTTTTTCTATCAGTTTTTAGCTAGTCAGGGTGACTGCGTAACTGTCTGTGATGTAGACGCAATATGTCAAGGGTAACAATTTATTAGGACAGGCTATTCAAGAATATATCTTATCAATCTACCCTCTGCAGTTTATGTGGAGACGCAATGGATCACGTGAAAATGAAGAAGGCTCTGGTTGTCAATTCGACGGCGACTATAACAATGCAATCAATATCTCAACCAGATGGCTATTATCACTCCGGAATCCTATCTGGAAAACGAGTTTTTTCGGTAAGCTGATTTATCTTCAAATCCATTAGAGAGTATCTAGTATCTTGCAGGTCTCCGTCTTTGAGCGAAATTCTGCGTGTCCCCTCTATTTCAGAAAAACAATAAGTGCGTCGAGTGCAGACCACATATTGTAAGTGACGGCTGCTTCAAAGTAAACCTGGTAATTAGTGATTCCTAGGGATACCTGCTAGTTGGTAAATGAGAGTTGTAAATAGTGACACCTATAGAATACAACTGCGACAGGCTAACAATCCTATGATATAAAACATTAAAATTTTGTATAAACGCTCGACCTCGTGGCGTGTGTACTGCACTGACGCGCTTTCTGGTTTTCTGAAACAGAGGGTAGTTTTCATTCCCAGCAGAAAAAGAGTACAAAGATCAGGTTGAAGGGCAAGGCGAAAAGAAAAACAACTATCAACTAACAACTATTGTTCGAAATTGGGGGACTATGGAAGACGGGAATATTGGAAGAGGAGCAAAATAGCAGCACTACAAGTGGAATTTACTGCACTTAGTATTTTTTTGGAGTCATTTACGTACTCCTATAATTACATGAGTTCTCGCTTGAAGATATTTTTTGCTGACCTATAGCCCAGTAACATTTTTCCATGACTAGCAGTACTTGACCAATGTGTTATATGAGAATTTCTCAATATTAAATGGCTCTGGAAAATGCGAACAACATTGTGTTTTGATCATGAACATGTGACTTGCAGATCTTGACAAAAGAGTCTACTTCGAGTGTAATTCGACTGTTCAACTTGAGGACGGTATTCCTTTTTTCCTCGTGTCACAGAATTACCCTTATACGCCGTTCGACTACTCGTACTGCAACGTGACATTCAAGAGCGAGGATGCAATTCGTTTGGCTATATACGACTTGGTCACAAAAGAAGGGGTTATTTTTGAAGGGCTGAACTTGTCAGGAGAAGCAACTCGAATTTCTTTGAGGTCAGTATCAGCGACTCAGTTGTTCAGTTACTGCAAGCAATCTGAACCAAGGAGAGGGGGGGGGGGGTGGAGTGTTGATGCCAATACAAAAGGATTCAGGGATTCCTTCTGAAGTGCCTCTCACTGTGAAAGGAATTGTCGACGACCGTATATTCATACATGGCGAAGATTTTTTTTGGTATTGTTGATCCAGATACCTTTCTAGGGGCAGGGTCAACCGTGCGTTGGACAAAGTCCAACGAGGGGTGGGGGGGGCGTATTTGGGGTGGAAAAGGGGGGGGTCGTATTTCGCGAGGTAGCGTTAATGTTACAGTAAGGGAAGTGATGATGCAGTTGGTTGGCGCGCTAAAATTTTGCCGTTTCACGGTGTGTATAAGCCCCCTAGGAAATGTTGCAGTGGAAATGTTGGTGAAATAGAGGGGGAAGTGAGAGGATGTTTGCGGTTTCGTGGTAGGTATATACCCCCCGCTCGACGGTAATTTTAGGAGGAAAAGTGGGCGGGATTTGGGCTGTGTCGACTGGTCATGAGCCCCATGATGGCGATGGCAGGCGAGGGTGGTGAAGGGTTGACCCTGAGGGGGGTCGTATCGAGGCCCTCTAGAAGGGGGAGGGGGTCGTAAAATTTTCGAAATCGGTCCAACGTGACGGTTGACCTGCCTAGGAGCGTTCCCTAGAAATCTTATTACGGCCTGTTCTCCTACAGATGGACAACCGCACTCCCACATCTCCGAACTTTGTTGGTGCCGTTCCTTGGGATTTTTTTCTCAATGCTGCGCTTCACACAAGCTCTACTTTCGTTACTAGCTAGAGATCTTATTATCGTAACACCTGCCTCTATTAGCAAAATACATAAGTATAATGCAAAAAGCACATCTTTTATAGCGGGCGGCATGTTACTGATGATGAGCCTGTGGCATTGTACTTCGCGGAATCAGTGACGGTATCGTTCTCCTTTCTGAATACTACAACGTTCTACACAAGGGGCTTTTACATCCTCGTGGATAGCTACACACGTGAGTACGGTAATTCTGAAAATCTGACCATACGAAGCTTAATGAAATCGGGTTTCTAGGCAGTCTCCTAAAAAGAACACAACTATATAGAAAGGTTTATATGCAGAATGGGCCAAAATTATGAGGACCGCGTGCGGCT